TGAAATTCAGTGTTATGTGCACAAGAATATAAAAAGGGTTTATACTAAACAGTATTTATCCTAAAGCAGTCTCTAATTTACAAAGAAGAATAAGAAAATGTGGTACATTTACACAATGGAATACTATTCAGCTATCAAAAACAATGACTTCATGAAATTCTTTGGCAAATGGATGGAACTTGAAAATATCATCATGAGTGAGGTAACCCAGTCACAAAAGAACACATATGGTATGCATTCACTGATAAGTGGACATTAGCCCAAAAGTTCAGGATACCTAAGATGCAATTCACAGACTATATGAAGCTCAAGAAGAAGGAAGACCAAAGTGTGGATGCTTCAGTGCTTCTTAGAAGGGGGAACAAAATATTCACAGGAGGAAATATGGAGACAAAGCGTGGGGCAGAGACAGAAGGAAAGGCCAATCAGAGACTACCCCACCTGGAGATCCCTCCCACATACAGTTGCCAAACCTGGATGCTATTGCCAGTGCCAGGAAGTGCTTGCTTACAAGGGCCTGATATGGCTGTCTCCTGAGAGGCCCTGCCAGAGCCTGAGAAATACAGAGGCAGATGCTCACAGCCAACCATTGGACTGAGTGCTGGGTCTCCGATGGAGGAGTTGGAGAAGGGACTGAAGAAGCTGAGGGAATTTACAGCCCCATTTGGGGAGAGCAACAGTGGCAATCGGGCAGACCCCTCAGACCTCCCAGGGACTGGACCACCAACCAGAGTACACATGGAGGGAACCCATGACTCTAGCCGCCTATGTGGCAGAGGATGGCCTTGTTGGACACCAGTGGGAGTAGCAGCCCTTGGTCCTGTAGGGGTTTGATGCCCCAGTGTAGGGGAATACCAGGGCAGGAAAGTAGGAGTGGATGTGTGGGTGGGGGAGCACCCTCATAGAGGCAGGGTGAGGAGGGATGGGATAGGGGGTTTCCGGAAGGGAGACCTGGAAAGGGGATAATATTTCAAATGTAAATAAATAAAATATCCAATGAAAGAAAAAAAGAAGAAGACACAAATGTTATAACATGGGGAAAACAGATGAGTTGGAGTTGTTGACTAGCTGTGTGATCTCAGACAAGGTATTTTGCTTCCTCATTCTTTTACTTACCCATGTATCATAATGCCAAACTGTTTAAGCATTCTTAAAGCTTTGGTTTTCAAATATCCCGTGCAACTTAAAGTACCCTAACAAAATGATTTTTCCTCATGTTCTGTCCCTAGAGAATGGGATTCAGAAGCTTAGGGATGGGTGCCAAGAATTCCTCTGTCCCTTTACAATGTCACTGTGATGCACAGCTATGTTTGAAAACAACTGATCTAGTAGTTTTTAGTTTTGGCATCTTATTGCCTTGTACTTGCAGAACAAGGCCACCTTAGAAAGTATAGCAGATAGTAGTTGTATTAAGGTACTCTATTTATTTTAATCAGGAAACATTTTATTTCTTTGTGAAGAACAAGGGACTTGATGGAAAAGATGATGTTAAAATGGCCATTAAAACTCAGTTGAGATATGGGTAACAGCAGGTTTGCTTGGTATTTAATGTAACAGTTTTTGGCAGCAGCAGCAATGGTTTGATACAATGAACCATAGGTCTAGTTTTCTTTTTGCTCTCAAAATTATTTTCCTTTTGTAGATGAAATATTTTTTGGGTTCTGTTTGCTTTCTGGAAGTGCAGCATGTGGTCAAGTCAGGCATCATAAGGTTTCTTCACGAAATAAAAGATCACATCTTTCTTCAAGCCTCTAGGGGCTGTGCCCTTTGTGATCCACATAAGCTAGTCCAGATTGGACTTCTGGGTTGATACAAAGACTATCAGGACCACTGTGTTATTTAAAATAATAGATTTTCTGCAGAATTATTATTATTAAAGCAAAGTTAGCTTTTTTGTTTAGATGAAACCATATAAAGGCAACATTCTGAGTAAATTATATAGCGTCCATTTGATGAAATAATGAGCCTAAGTTTAGGGGATGAAAGTAATGATCTAATGCAATATTTAGAATGAGTGTTTAGTATGTAGTTATTAACCTAAAAGTCACATCCTGCATTCTTTTAATTTGTGAAAAATTTGTCACTAATTGCCCAAGAAACCTCTGATTTTTCATACAAAATCGCCTCATAGCTGTTGACTTTCTTCCCCTTCTCCTGCCTTAAAATACAGCCCTATAAGCAATAAATTACTCTCAGATTTGTATGCCCCCTCTAAATATTGAAGTGCTAAGTTTAGCCCCATTGCTGTTTTTCAAAAATAGAATTCTTTCCCCATCCAGCTTTGTCTTTGAGAAGCTACCAACAAATCTCAGTTTTATTTTAATGACAACCTGTTTAAAATATTATTTAACCTTGCCACCCATCAAGAACCTGATAATTTTGAAATATTTTAAAGTTTAATTACTGATTTGTGGAGGAAATGTATGTTATATTTAATTTAGAAGCCCTTTAAGAGATAAGTTCTGATCTTTGATTCAAATTCATTCAAAATGAGGCAGGGTCAGGCAAATAGAAGTCAAAGATTGAAAGGACCAGCAGGTCGATCTGTACCTGGTCTTCATATTGAGTTCCAAGACATCCAGGCCTATGTAGAGACTCTCCCTCTCTCTTCCCATCTCCCTCCCCCTCCCTCTCCCTAACCCCCCCCCCGACACACACACAAAGGAAAACATAAGGTAATAAGAAATAAAGTAGCCAAGTTGATACCCGGCCTTGAGTCTAGCCATGACCTACCTAATTTTAGGATTTGCAGAGTTGCTTGTGATCATCCACCCAATCTACTGTTTCATGTGTCTTTGCTGCTGATTGTGTAGCAAACATTTGTTGACTTTGAGGTGAAAAATAGACCTGTAGTGATTAATTTCTTGTAGTAGTTACCTTTGTGAATTTAAATTCTTGGCCTCTAGTATTTTCAGAGTGTCTTAGAGAGTGAATTTCACTGGTAGTTCTTTGAAAGAGAAAATAAAAAGACCTCAAAAGAGATATATGAAAGAAGAATCTGTCTTACTAACTTCAGACTTCAGAAAATGTCCCCAAATTCAGGAACAGGAATCATAAAAAATTATCTACTATTATATCTCTTCTGTATTATTTTTTGACAGTTAAAAGAATAGTATTGTTAGTACAGATGTTAATTGTAAAATTTGAGATCATTTACTATTTTGAAATGTGTGTTCTGTGTTCAGACTGTTTGTGGTTATGACATATGTCTTATTCAAAGAACTTGGGATATTATCTTTCTATATATTAGGATTTCAAATCTTTTTTATTTGATTTCAAAACACTTTAAAACCCACAAGTTTAGCTAAAATGATTATAACTTCATAGAGAAAGCATGGAGGGTCAAAGGAGTTAGGTGAAATGTCAACAGTCATATACTTATTTGGGTGTTGGCAAAACTTAGAAACCGTGACTCTGGCCTTCCCTTCCAGGGTATTTTTACTACAAAATGTTCTTTTGATTTTGCATTTCGAATGACACAGAAGTGATCTGTGAAATGGTGATTAGCGCTAGGCAGCCCAAGCAGCCCTGGAGTGCTTCATGGTTCAAATGCCCAAGACCAGATGGAAGTCCAGAAGTGGATGACTCAGAATTTATTAGTTTTGCCACCTGGGTAGTACAGCCGAACCAGCTGCCACAAGGCAGTTCCAATTTCAGCAAAGCAGTAAACGAACACAAAAATGAGAGTCAGTCTCCATATGAAAGGAGAATGGCTGATACAGCAGCAAGATTCCCTCAGCATGATTCCTATTGATACCTCTTGTAGGAGGTACAGTGCCCATGCCAGGCACAAGGCAAGAGATGCTTATGGATCCTTGCCCTGAAAAACTCAACATCAGAGTTGTTCCATAAGCTACTGTCAGTTTGGGGTATGTTTGGATTATAGGGTGAGTTATATCCGATGATATGGAAGAGGAATAATGATATAGCCAATGCTGTATAAAAGCTATGTTATGAACTCAGAGAGTTTTTCCTTGTGGATTATTAAATATCATTTATTACCTTTTCATGGTCCTGATCTCTGGAGGTCTAAGTATCCAGGGATCCTAAAATCATTATGGACCGCCATAGAAATCTTGCCATTATCCTCATGTTTTCCTTATGTGGACTTGGAAGTTTATAGCTTGTGCCTGGAATCCCAGTACACAGCAGGATGAAGCAAGAGAATTGCTGCAAGCTTGAAGCTAACCTGGGTTATAAAGTTTGTTCCAGGATACCCTGATTTATAAACTGAAGTTGTATCTCAAGTCTCAAAACAACCAAGAAACCAATGAAAATCAAAATAAGAGGGTTTTTAAGGTCTGTCCATGCAGCAAGGTTTCAGACGACCCTTAAACAGATCAGTGGTGCTCAGACACAAAATGGACCTAATAATGAGGGCTTGGGGTCAGATTAAGTTGGGATAAATACAGTATTTTTTTGCTTAAATGAGGAAGGTTTAGTAATGAGTTAAAAAAAAATCTTGGTTTATTTTTTATGTTAAAAGATGCTTGGGTATTTTTCAAAACTCAACTAAGCTGGCTTAATAGAAACTTGGCATTATTTCTTTTTGTTTGTTGACAAGCTTAAAAGACTATGGCTCCTTGCTTTGGTTCACTGGCCTTTGTGGTGATGCATGCTTTTTGGTGTCATGATAAAAGGAAATAAGGCATAGTAGAAAGGCGAGTTCATCACTTACTTGCTGACTTACTCTGTTGCAGCTTTTTTCCCCCTCAAGGCTAGACCAAGGTGACCTCAGCTTAGCTGACATCTGCCTTCTGATGGCCTTGTCAGGAGATGAATTTTTGTGTGTTTATAGTTTTAAACTGATCATTACTTAGTCACGCAATAGTGTAATATGGTTCTCTACTTGTGTGAAGAGAATGTGACATGTATGTTATGACTGAATTGGAGTCTTTTTTCTTATGTAATGACATGAAGTGAAGTGGTTTTATATTATAACATTTTGCTCACCATTACAGGTAAACTAATTCATTTTCTTCCTATTTTTATTCTGACAGGTGGCATGTTTGACCCAAGTAGCTGCTAATTATCTTATTGGACAAAAGGAAGCAAAACGCTGGGGCACAGCTCATGGCAGTATTGTTCCTTATCAGGTACAAGCTAGCCTTCTGTTACTATAGCCTCCAGATCTGTACAAACACCGAAGTTTTTACAAACCTTCCATGGTTGTTCTATAATGTATCTCTGACTTGTTACAGCCAGGTTCTATTTTTCTCTTTAATTTTTTGCCATATTTCTTCACTGGAAGGTTTGTAACAGGACCTTTAAGTGGATTGAAGGCACTTAGAGAAAGGGACTTACATTGGAGCTAATAATATGATAATTTCTTTCTCTTGCTTTCTCTCACTCTCTCTCTTTCCTTTCTCTCCCTCCCTCCCTCCCTCCCTCCCTCCCTCCCTGCCTCCGGGGGTCTGTCTCCCCCTCTCTCTCTCCCCCTCTCTCTCCTCTCTTTCTCTGTCTCTCACCTTCTTTTTCTTCTTTCACTCAAAAGCCATTGACTATAGCTAGTTTATTATCCTAGCTATAAAACAAATGTTACCTTCTCCATCTGACAATAATATTCTCACAGGGTTACACTGAAGTGAAAATTTGCGTGTGATGGATCTTCATCCTTGGAGAAAAACAGATGGTTTACGAGCTGCTGTTCTTTATTAAGTGTCTAAACTTATCCTCAGTAATTCTGGACTTTGGCTTGTGCAGATGAATATGTGAAGAAACTGTGATCCTTTAAAAATAACAAAAACTCTACTGCTTCTTCCAAGCCACTAGCTTTAGCTTGGCCTGGTTGCTTATTTCTTCGCATTTCTGCATATATTTGTCAAACTTTCCATACAGCATCATAAGTTTAAGAGTAGTAGGGTCATTCTCATCTTTTATCTCATATCCAGTAGAAATACATGGTATACTCTGGAATTATCCTCTGAATAAAGGATTGGATCTTAGTCCAGCTATTTCAATATGTGTGTTTTTTACAGGAAACACATAAACTCAGGATTTTTCATTTGCTAGGAAATCCATCAGTTTTTCAGTCTTCATTTCAATATGAAGAAATTATTTCTTTGGGCAGGTCTAGTTTCATTTCTTCCACTTTAATCCAAATTTGAAGAAAGCATAATTCAGTGTGAGATCAGCATGTTTTCTTCTCATTCTACTTATGGATATTTTAAAAAATTGTTGCTAACTTCCTGGTCCACGCTCTAAGAGTTCTTCATCCCATTGCCCTCCTCTTGCTTCTAAGAGGATATGCCCATCCATATCCCCACCTTATCCTCCTCTCTGCATCCCCTTTCCCAAGGCATCAAGTCTCTCAAGGATTAGGCACATCCTCTCCCACTGAGGCCAGATAAGGCAGTCCTCTGCAACATAGGTGCTAGCAGCCACAGACCAGCCCATTCGTGCTTTTTGTTGGTGGCTAAGTCTCTGGGAGCTTTCAGAGGTCCAGGTTAGATGATGCTGTTGGTCTTCCTAAGGGGTTGCCTTCCCCTTCAGCTCCTTCAATCCTTTCCCTAACTCTTTCATGGGGTTCTCTGACCTCATTCCAATGGTTGGCTGTAAGTATCTGCATCTGTCTCAGTCAGCTACTGGTAGAGCCTCTCAGGGGACAGTCATGCTAGGCTCATATCTGCAAGCACAACATAGCATCAGTAATAGTTAGGGTTTTGTGCCCACCCATGGGATGAATCCCAAGTTGGGCCAGTACTGGATGACCTTTCCTTCATTCCTTGCTCCATTTTTGTCTTGCATTTCTTTTAGACAGAAACAATTCTGGGTCAAAACTTTGAAGGTAGGTTGGTGACCCCATCCCGCTATGGTGGCCCTGTGGAGGTGGTTTCTTCAGGTTCCACCTCCCCACTGTTGGGCATTCCAGCTAATGTCATCCCTATTGAGTCCTGGCAACCTCTCACATCTCAGATCTCTGGGATGTTCTAGCAGTTTCCCCTGACCCTATCCCCCACAGCAGCGTATTTCCATTCATTCTCTTGGCCCTCTGGGCTTTTCTCCTGTTTCCCCTCAAACCTGATTCTGCCCACCCCTTTTCCCCACTCCCTTCTCTCTCACCCAGGTCCCTCCTCTCTCTGCCTCCTGTGATTACTTTGTTCCCTCTTCTATGTGGGATTGAAGAATCCTCACTTGGGCCTTCCTTCTTGCTAAACTTTTTATGGTCTGTGGGGTTGTATCATGGGTATTCTGTACTTTTGGACTAATATCCACTTAACAGTGAGTATATACTATGCATGTCCTTTGGGGTCTGGGTTACTTTACTCAGGATAATATTTGATAGTTCCATCCATTTGCCTGCAAAGTTCATGATGTCCTCCCCATTTAAAAAAACTGAGTAGTATTAAATTGTGTAAATGAACACAGGCAAACAGGTAGAAGCACTTAAAGAGGGAACAAATAAATCTCTTAAAGAAATACAGGAAAATACAATCAAATAGGTGAAATAGTTTAACAAAACAGTCCAAGACCTAAAGATAGAAATAGAAACAATAAAAAAAATCATACATGGAGCCAACACTGGAGAAGGACAACTTAGGAAAGAGATTAGGAGCTAAGATGCAAGCATTACCAACAGAGTACAAGAGATGGAAAAAAGAATCTTAGGTGTAGAAGATACCATAGAAGATAGAGACACATGGGTCAAAGAAAATACAAAGTGTATAAAGTTCCCAACCCAAAATATCTAGGAAATGTGGACACAATGAAAAGACCAAATCTCGGAATAATAGGAATAGAAAAGGGTGAAGATTCCCACTCCAAAGGATCAGAAAACATCTTAAACAACATCATAGAAGAAAACTTCCCTAACCTAAAGAAAGAGATCCCCATAAACATACAAGATATCTAGAGAACACCAAATAGATTAGACCAGAAAAGAAAATCCTCTCGTCATATAATAATCAAAACACTAAATGTACAGAACAAAGAAAATGCTAAAAGCTTTAAGGGAAAAATGCCAAATCACATATAAAGGCAGACCTATCAGAATTACATCAGACTTCTCAAGAGAGACTCTAAATGTCAGAAGAGCTTAGACAGGTATCATGCAGACCCTAAGAGACCACAGATGCCAGTGCAGACAACTTATACCCAGCAAAACATTCAATCACTACAAAAGGAGAAACCAAGATATTCCAAGACAAAACCAAATTAAAACCAAGTTTAAACAATATCTTTTTACTAATCCAGCCCTACAGAAATACTAGAAGGAAAATTCCAACACAGGTTTATGGCTATTTTATATCTGAGACTTTGCTATGATTTTTGCTATAACTGCTTTTCTCATATTGATTTACCTCCTAGGATAATTACAAGTTTGGAGAATTTCTTTAGGCCACTTTAGAGATATTTGTTTATGTAAGTTTTCTCTCTGTCTCTGTCTGTCTATCTGTCTCTGTCTGTCTCTGTCTCTCTGTCTCTCTGTCTCTCTCTCTCTCTCTCTCTCTCTGCCTCTAGACTTCTAGCTAGAATGTCCTTTCCTTGACTCATAGGAGTCATTGCATTTTTGAATGAATTAGACTGAGTCTTATTATTTTTTTTCCAGATTAAAAATCTCACACTCAAATTGAATGGAGAGTTTCCATTCAAACACAGAACCTCTTAGCTCTTTGTTTAGACATTTTTATCTCCCCCTGCCAATGATAGGTGTGTACTGTGGTTTCAGTTCCCATAGTGCTATCACTCTTTCTTCCTATCCAATTTGCTCCTAGCTCAGGGGTATGGCTAAGTGATTCATAATTATGATTGATGTTGGAAATTATTCTTAAGAGGATTTTAGAAAATGGACAATGTTAGAAACAATGTGAATTCATCTCAAATAATCTAAATTCAGGCTCTAGTCTTTGATGTATGTGAAGAAAGCAGCATTTTTGAGCTGGAATGCTTTGTAGGTTAATTCTAAGTTACATTAAAAAATATAAAAGTCTATTTATTTATTGTTTGGTTTTAGTAAAAATAGAATATCCATTTTAAAAGCTTATTGTAGATCTTAGTATCTCTCCTAGAGAATTATGATATCACAAATAATCTCTTAATTATTTTACTGTGGCAGATAAAGGGATTCAGAGTATTTGGCCTTAATTTTAGAAGGTTAAGTGTATAAAAGACTTACATGAGTATTTTTAATAATCTCTTAATTATTTTACTGTGACAGATAAAGGGATTCAGAGTCTTTGGCCTTAATTTTAGAAGGTTAAGTGTATAAAAGACTTGCATGAGTATTTTTTTCAAGAATAGATATGTACTTCACCATTGAGTAATCTCATTCATATTAAAGGGGTACCTGGGCCTGTGTAATCACAGTTGAGTATAAAAAATAAGATATCTGGTTTTCATCAAGAGCATAGAATCAATCTGCTTCTTCTGTCTAGAGAATTGATTAAATACAGTGATTAGAGATGAACTGCAAATTTAACTTGAATGAAACTAATATAATAAGATTGGTCCTAGATATGCTTCAAGATTCTCGTCTGTTCACAAGTTTTAAATAAACCTGAGGAGTATTTTCATGAGTGATTCCAAGATAATTACAGTTTTTCTTCTAGTTTGCTTCCTATTGTCTGAGTTTTTAGCCCAGTGTCTATAATAAAGATCCCAATAGTTTTGGGAGTTCGTTAAGCTTCTCACCTTGCTTTATTTAGTTGTTGATATCCTTTAGATAATCATAGACCTTGAATACATTGAATGTATTATTCTGAGAAACAGTGGTCTCTCATTATGTGTTATAAACGTGCATTTCTTAATTTTTCAGATCAGTGATCTATTGGTACACTTTTCTCCTTAATTCTTTGGCTGCTAACTTTTATATGTTGTGTGAGACACAATCTTGATATATAGTACAGTCAGGGCTTGAACTTATAATATTCTTTTATTAACCTTCTGCATAGTAGGATTTAAGTATGTGCCGTCATGTGCTGGCAGATTTTTAAAACTTAACTAGTTAAGAAATACGAACTTATAAAATTTATAGGTAAATGGGTAGACCTAGCAGTAATCATCCAGATTTATATGTCCTAGTCTCAGAAGACAAGCATTGTATGATTTTTTCTTGTATGTGGGTGTTAGTTACTAAGCTTTACATATGTGTACATAT